TGGCCTAGGATCGATCCCACGCCTGTGGACGGTCTTGATCTGTTTTTCCCTTAGGTGCGATCAAACAGTCGAAATCAAATGCGATGAACGATCTAGACTCATTTTCTCCTTAGGCACGATCGGACGGATGAGATCGATCGCAATTGACGGTCCATATTAACACGATATGGGTATAAATATTTCGCATCAAACAGCACCTGAACCCTAGCCGTCAGCCCCCTGCCCCACCAGAAAAGAAGGACCAGACATCTAGAGAAGGAAGCCGACCACCGATCACTGCCGCACCGGAGCCACCTCCAACCGTCAAAAACGGTAAAAATTCTCCTACTCACTCAGAATTCGATTTTGAGCACCCATGTGACCATATCAGAGTAAAAAAAATGGTGGGTGAGCCAAAAACCGTGGGCAAAGCCCGACGGGACCACCGCAGCCCAAAACTCGCAACTTCCTCTATTGAGCCCTTTCGATCCCGTTTATGCGATTTTCTATGTGTGTTCACCATCTATTTTATAGATTGATCGAACGAAAAATTCCAGCCACGAAGGAGAGCCGGCAGAGCCGCCGCACCCGAAAACTCTACCACTGGTAGGTTTCAATTTCTTGATTTTTTCGGCCAACTGAGACTCTCTAACGTATTTTTTCATAGGGATACGTGTAAAGTCGGCGAAAATCAGTTGAAAATGGCTAGGCCGAGGCAAACCACCGTTACGGGTGCGGTGCCGTCGCCTCGGGAGCCGATGCCATCGCCAAAACACAACAGCGCCGCCATGCTAGAATTCTAAAATTTGCCGGAAAGAATTTTTAACATTGATTTTAAATTTTTAAGGTATATTTTAGGTACGTAAAACATATTTAATCTCCACAAGAAAAATTTAAGAAATCTGGGGACCGCCAAGAGGTGCGGTAGAAAGTATGATGTTTCGAATACCGATTCGGGTAAGAATCCATTACCATATTACATGTTATGGAATTGAAGCTTAATAATCAATAATATGGTATTTTATAAAATTTAAAAAACTTTGAGAATAATTACAGGTCACTAATGGAGGCAGAACTGGTTAGTTATTTATTTGTCATGTTTAACTGATTATTTATTTGTACAATTTTAAATACATGATAATATATTAAAAAAAGTTAAATGATTATGTTGTGTTTTCTTGATACATATATCGCTTATTTTGCGTGATTTGCGGTTGATTTGTAAAATGTGAAATTAATAAATAGTTGTCTTACTAGATATCTTAGGAGATGGTGGACAGAACAGGTACATAAGAAACCATACCGTGAACGTTAGCTCATACCGAATGGGGTATGGAGATGATCGATTAATTGACAAGTTTAGATGTTAGATTCACGCGTAGGATGATATTCTTATGGACCCCCAAAGGTACCAGTAAGCAGATAAAAGAGAAAGTTGTTATTCTCACTCACTTGTATAAGAAATCATAATGTTGTTTGAGTTATTGTTTTTATAAGTCGATTTTGAAAATCTCATAACAGTAAGTATGCAATAAATAATTTTTTATATGATAAATGAACTTACTTAAATTAAGAGCTTCATTAGTTGTTTAATTTTTTTTTTTTACCAACCTTTAATTTTCGTATCGGTGAGTAGTGTGATATTCTTATTAGACTAGCGTAGCTCACCCCTATTAACCATTTCATATCAAGATCCAGATCCTAATCAGCAGAAGGACGGTGAGTAGGTGTCTCCCGGATCCTATCAAGAGCTAGTAGAGGTTAACCTTCCTATAATATTTATTTACTATTTTTATATATTTATTTTATTTTTTTATGAATCGTTATGAAATGACCATTTTAGTATCCTTATTAGGCATTTTAATTTATGTATAAGGAATATAAACCCTAACTTAATTATACGCTTCCGCATCTTTAATTCAAATTTATTTTACCCAAAATTTTTGGTCTTTACATCTACTTACCATAATGGTGTCTGTGATCTTGTTTAAGTGCTTGATTTTTATAAAAGTATCGGTTATAAATTGGTTTTCAAGACCAAGCACGATGCAAAAGGCAATATTGACAATTTAAAGTCAAACTAGTGGCCAAATGTTTCACTCAAAATAAAGATAAATGTCATAGAGATACATTTTCTTTAGTTTTTTAAAAAAATCGCCTTAGAATCATTATGACACTTGTCGCATATTTTGAATTAAAGTTACATCAAATGGATGTGAAAACTACTTTTTTAAATGGAAATTTGGATGAGGATATCTATATGGAACAACCTAAAAGATTTATAAATATAAGAAAAAGAACACGTAATTTACAAATTAAAGAAATCTATTTATGGTCTTAAACAAACTTCTAGACAATAGTGTATAAAGTTTAATGATACCATTATTTCTTTTGGATTTAAAGAAAAGATTGTTGATGGGGTGCAGATATTTGAAACTTAGTGAGAGCAAATTTATATTTTGACACTATATATGAATGATATTTTGTTAACTAGTAGTGATATTGGTTTATTATATGAAAGCAAGAAGTATATCTCTAAAAACTTTCAAATGTTTGACATGGGTGAGACAACCTATGTTATTGGAATAAAAATCTTCAGAAATCGATCTTGAAGATAGTTAGGTTTGCTTAAAAATGATATATTAATCGAGTTTTAAAGGGATTCAATATATTAACTGTGTTAATATATACTAAGCCTTAGTCAGTATGGGTTGATCCCTTGCTACATTTGCTGGGTTATACAGAAATATAATTGACTATCTATGCATAATATCTTTTCCTTCTAAATTTTCTTTCTCTGTGTGGCAATTAACAATTCTAGAAAACTGAAATTCTAAAGTTTTTTTAAGCTTTAAATTGAGAAAACATGAAGTTTTAGTATTCTATTCTATCTTATAGGCTGCAGTAAAACATATCCGAACTTTTTCATGGGATATATACATTTTATAGATGTTGCCTTCGCACACATTTTGGTATATGAAAACCCATAAGCAAATGGAAGGCACCTGTATGTTGAAGCTATTTTTCATTATGGTGACATTATGGCAAAGGTTGCTGAGCTCTAACCTGAATATAAAGTGCCCGGTAATAAGTTTTATAAAATCTGCATAACACACTATTACTGGAGTACACAATGTAAGGGTTTTACATGCCTCAAGCTGTAAGGAAGAAAAAAAAATGTCTTCCATATGAGAAAATTTGACCGTTAATGTAAAAGCCAAAACTTTTATAGAATTGAAATATTGAATTAATGAAATATAAACGAATGTAATTGAGAATTTAAGGTTTACATTCCTTGCACAATAAATTAAGATGCCCAATAGTGTTATAGAAATATCTCTTGAAGGAGATTAAAATAACATAAATAAAAATGTAACTAAAATCTTATAGGGTCAACCTCCGCAGGGCAACTATGATAGGATGCGGGAGGCAACCTTTAGTCGCTAACTTTCTTGCTGTTCAAGATTCAGATCTTGGTCTTTCTGATATGAAATGGTTAAATAAGAGGAATAAGATACACTAGTCCGGTAAGAATATCAACACTTAACAATCGATATAGAAAACCAAATATTATTAAAAATCACAAAACAACCAATTAAACCATTTTTTTTAAGATAAATTCATTTAACTTTAAAAACGTAGTTCATACTCACCTTTTGGGTTCCAAAATACGACTTATGAAGGTAATAATCAAGATAGTAATTTATTATACATTTTAAAGAACAATAATAGTTGAACTTTATATTTTTACCTACTTACCGGTACCTCTGAGGGTCCATAAGGGTTTTCCTTACATGTGAACTCAATATTCAATCTATCAATTAACGAGTCGCTCCCATACCCCGTCTGGTAATGTATGTCAAACATACTACCGTCTCAATACTCCGTTCGGTATGAGGGTGAACAAATACTTTCCAACCTCTTCCGATATGGGGCTTCTCAATCCACAATATAGTTTGCCCTATGTAACCGGGTCAGTACACCCTTTTTCACAATACTCAGTAAGCCTTTTACATACATGTTCACATCATCAACCAACCACTAATTACACACAACCACCTCATTCCATATTTATAGAATAATAGAGCAACAATTAAACAGACAGTATAAATTGATATTTTACCAACTAATAAAAACGTGATCAGAGCATTTATTTCAAACTAATTAACAAATAGGGTTAAATGGTTAAGTAAATCAATAAATGAGAAGACAAATAAACTTATGAATTAAAGTGTATGCGGTAAGTAAATAATAACAGTTTCGCAATAAATGAACACATAGATAAAATAAGTAATTTCGTATTGAGAAGTTACCGGCTCAACTGGTGACCTATATTTATTATTTAATATTCACAAATTACACTGTTATTATTTATTAAACTTTAATTAACTGTAACGAAAGAAAATGGTGAGGGATTCTTACCCCAATTCGGTGTTTAAAATACCATCTTTTTCATTATAATTCCTAGCAGTTCTCGGATTTTTTAGATTTTTTATGCGAAAATCGAAAACACGTGTCACATATCCTGAAATACCTAAAAAAAAGTCAAAATAAGGGTTTTGAAATTTTTCAACCGATTTAGGGTTCTGGCACGCTGCTATGCTTAGTATGGCCGGTTTCGACCGGTTTTATGCGAAAACCTACAAAATTCGAGGTTAAGTGACCTCTGTTGGCCAGAAAAAGGGAAAAACCAAAGCTTACATGCGGGGTAGTTTTCCGGTGCAGCGATGGCTCCACCGTTCCTCCCTCGTGGCTGGTGATTTTTTTTAGTCGTCCTGCATAAAAAAAGGGTTAGGAATTCAACGGTCAGAAAATATAAGGAAACGAGAAGTGGGATCGGGCTCATTGAAGCAATTTTGGGTCACAGATGCGGTTGCTAAGCCAAGCTCTGCAGTCGATTTTTTACTTCCCTTTTGGCCTTTCGGCACTGATATAGGTGTGGGGGTGCTTATAATTGAATTTCAAAGCGAAAGGAAGAAAAAACTCACATTTTCGATGTCGGTGACGGCTCCAGTGCGGCGATGACGGTGGTCGGCTCTCCTTCTGGCTGCCCTTCTTTTTCTTCTTCAGTGAGGTCAGATACAGCTAGGGTTAGGGTTTATAGGAAGTGAGGTTTAATACCCTCTCCGCATTGATCTGTGCAATCCTTGCAGGGACACATGGAGCGCCGAGGATCGTTCAATCATGCTAAAAGAAAAAAATAATCTGGATCGTTCAATCTGTGGCACGCGAGCCGTTCAATCGAGCTTATTCGAAAAATCGATCTCGACCGTCCACGCGTGCAGGGAGAGATCTGGGTCATCAGATCCGTTGGCACATGAATTGCCCGCGTGGCTTCCTGCGTGGATGTGTGTCTGCCTGTCTACCACGCTGCTGATGTGGCGGTCCACGTGATATTTTCACTTTTGTCCTAGTTTTTCATATTTCTTTTCAAATAGTTCCTTTCTTATTTTTACTTTGGTCATGATCTTTGAAAATATTTTTAAATATATCCAAAACACAATTTGCTTAAAAATTGAAAATTAAATTATTTATTATTAAAATTTGATTATCACGAACCTAATTTATGGACTCGAATATTACAATTAATTTTTTTTATTAAAAGTACATGAGTTAAAAGAGAATAGAAGTACTAAGTTTTACCCATTTAACAACTAACTAAATTTTCTTTCTAAGTGAAGTATGATATCCATTCCAAAGTGGCATTATTATTGTTGTGTGTTGATTTTATCAGCTCCTGATCATTGATTACTTCGATAGCTTACAGAACTTAAGCCTGTTATGTAGAAATTACTGTTTATATTGATATCCCTTCATTTTTAGATATCTAAAGGATACTCAACCTAGACTTTTGAGGAGCAAGACTGGAGCTAAGAAACTGATGAATTTTGGTTTACAGGTTATTACCATAGAGCAAATTATTAAGGATGTTGTTGAGAGCTTAAAGAGCAAAGGATTTATTTCTTGAAGTATCAGTGTCAGACTCAATGGCTCAACTCTTCACTTCCCCGTCAATTTATAGATTGACTCGGGGTAAGAAGCTTGTTAGAGTTCACAACCTTTGGTAATTTGAGAAGTTTTTATCTTATTATGTGCATGTCATAGTTATAGGTTGTAGTTCCGCAGAAGCAGTGGCACAAAAGCGACGATGTAACCTACTTAGTCTAGTTTTCCTAGAAGTGCCAGGATTTGTATCTTTAAAAATTTTAGATAGAAATAACACTTCTTTGACCATTTATCTTGTCTGTAAATTTTAAAATGCTGATAAGAGTTTCGAAGCCGTTGGATTTATGAGAAAATTTTCAAATGCGTTCTCACTTGGTAATAAATGGCCAATGGATCTTATCCATATGGTTTACTTGTGATACTAAGCACTTATTGTTGTATGAATTTTTATTTTGTTATCAAAATACTTTTAATAAATAAATGCTACAAATATTTTGAAATTTGGACGGGAGATTTTTACTAAAAATGTGCACTTTTAGGTTTTATCTTGTTTTAAAAAGGCAAGGGTTTAAAGATATTATTATTTTTAAAAGAAATATTCAAAATATTCTTTTATGTAAAAAAAAAAAAAAAAAAAAAAACCAATCCTTTGTCTGGTAAATTAAAGATGAACAAAATTTTAGGGAAAATGAAAAGGAAAAAAATCAACATTTTTTTTTTTGAACTTTTAATTTAGTTGATTTACTTCCTTATAACTTGTGCAAAATTTATTTGTAAAGATATGTTTTTTTTTTTTTTTTGCGATTATATTTTAAAAGATATCATTAATATGATTCTGTTTATATAATTTTATATGATTTTTTTTCAAAGATTACAAGTATATTAAGTAATAGAAAGTCACTAATTCTCTTCTAAATTTCCACAAAAACAAAATTTTATTTATTGAAAATGTGGTCAGCAGCTATTATTAATTCACTTTTTTCCGTTACATTTTAACGGTATTAATAAACATTAATTTCCTAAGAGTAGTAATCGAAAGGATATATTAAATTAAAAGAAAGAGAATAAATCAATAAATATATTCTTTAATTTCTTGATAAACTTCGTATACTAACATAAATAAAACGTGGTCAGCAGCTATTAATTCACTTTCTTTTCAGTTACTTTCTGACCATCTTAATGAATATTAATTTCCTAAGAGAAATCAAAAGGATATACGAAATTAAAATATATATATATATTATTTCCTACACTGTATAAATAGAACGATCGATAAACCCACAACTAAACCAACAGACCTACTAAACTTTATCAGCACCCATCAAAAAAAAAAAAAAAAATTTGCAAGATGAAGTCTTCGACCACCCTAGTAGTTGTTTTATTTTTTATGATTTATGTTTCTCATGTCAGAGTCGAAGGTGTGGGTACTCGTTTATCATCCGGAATCAACACTCAAGATGTCAATCCCGATCAAACTATCATCGTCCGGCGTAAGTACATAGTTTAAATTTTCAGACGATACTTTTGAAATATTGTTTGTGCAAATTTTTTTGATTAGAATTTAATTGGGATTTGACAGCATGTGTTAGCGATTGTAAGGTCGGAAGCCAGGCGAGGCCATGTTGCAACTGTGACTTGAACAACAATCATCCAGTCTGCAGGCAGTGTTGTAAATGAACTTGATTTATCTACCGTCATGCTGTAGTTTTCATATTTGAAATAAACCATTTTAATGGAATTTCTTTTTTTTTTATTTTTTAAGTCCTTATTTTTTAAACATATATATATATATATTGATACTCAGCTAGAATGAATGAATTCACAAATAATTTAATTGTTTAACATAATAATAATAATAATAATAAAGAGGTGTTGTTACTGCGTAATTTAATTTACAATAAAAAGAATGCCCATAGATGTTCGCTAAATTTAAAAAATAATTAAAAACTGAAAACAATAGTATATGAAAATACAAAATATGAATATGTCCATTGAGGAAATATTAGCTGTTTATGAATATGTCCAAATTCAATTATTTTTTTAGTAAAAAAATTATATCTAATTATAACTACTCTGAGTAAGAATATTTGACTACTAAAGAATTTTTTTTTTTTTTTCACTATAAATATAAATATAAGATGTTCCATATTGAATTAATTACTTAATTTTATTAAATTAAATATTATAAATTAATCACGGTTTACAAAAATTTAAATATGTAAACCTAAAAATTATTACTTTGTGAATATATTAAATTATAATGGTTAAGATTTGTATACCCTAATTAAATGCCTACAAATTTGAATACGAGAACATAACTTTTTGAATATATGTTATTGTAACAGCCTAGCTAGCCCAATCCGATCTCATACTTAACTTGCTAAGAGCCCAAGCCCATTGGGCCGGCCCGAGACTTGCACGAACAGCATCCATATTCTTCTTCTTCACCTGCAAACACAACAAGGGTGAGGTTTAGGTTAAAAAAACCCATATAAATTTTTTTATTAAAACTCGTGGAACACGAATGCGTGAAAGCAGTTTCAGACAACTAACAAATACCCAAAAAAGATTCATTTAAGATAATTTGCCACGTGTGACCGAGCCGTGAAGCGCGACACGTGTCTGACTTATGAATACCCACGCCAGTTTTTTCTTATTTAAAGAGGGGGACAAATCTAAGTATAATGTGAGCCGAAGAACGACTGAAAATCTCACTTAGCTTATTGCTTCAATGGCCGCTCATCAATCGAGGACAACGGGTTTCCCTTCTCTTCTCCTTGTTTATCTTGAGCTCCGTTTCTTCTTCTCCTCGAAGTTCTGGAGTCTTTCTCCCGTCAGATTCCGACAAAGTCTCCTTAGATTTTTATTACGAATCTCTGTGCCCATTCTGTGCTAGATTCATTACCAAATTCCTGGTTAAGCTCTTCGATTCTGACCTTATCTCCATTGTTGATCTCCATCTCTCCCCTTGGGGAAACGCTAAAATTAGAGGCAACTCCACCTTCGATTGCCAGGTCCTCTACTCTAATTTCATCTTCACTTTTTCTATCTCATTTTTCATTTCTGGTTTTGGGTCATTTCCAGATGTCGATTATTTCTTCTGACTCTAACTATTAATTCACCGGAGTATATTATTTTATTTCACCTTATACTTTTCTGGGTTTCGTTCAATTTTACATAAAATCTGATGGTTCATCATTGGTTCTCTTTTTTTTTTCTTGCAGCATGGTCCATCTGAATGCTTGCTGAATACCGTGGAGGCTTGTGCAATTGATGCCTGGCCTGAGCTGGTAATTTTTCTTCAAGAAGCCATTCATGAGCTCTCTTTTGTTCATAAAAGTATTACTGTAAAAAAAAAAAAAAAACAATGTTTGTTTGTTGCAGAATGAGCATTTCCCTTTTATATATTGCGTGGAGAGTTTGATGGTCGAGGGCAAGCACACAGAGTGGAAGTCGTGCTTTGAGAAACTGGGATTGGATCCGAAACCTATTTTGGATTGCTACGACAGTGAATATGGGAAAAAGGTTCGTTTCTCTGCTTTGACTTGATCTTGTTTATTCTAAATAAAAGAATTATGGTGATTTGGGCATATACCAAAAGTCCTGGTTCTATATTCTGTTTAGTTAAGAGATCTGCGGCAAAACTATAGTTGGAAAGGATTCGTCTGTTCATGAGAGCTTTATTGATAATATTATTCTAGAGTATATCCTGGTTTCGAAGATCTCTACGATGAATGTCCAGGTAGTCGATTTCCTTAGTTGCCTAACAGCTTTATATAATTAACGCTGTTTGTATTCTGATTATGTGCCCCTCATTGGGGCTCCACAAGAAAGAAAATCAGTGTAATTTTTGCCACATCAAGGTTGTTCCTATGGTAAACCAGCCCATGTGCAAATCAGGATTCCTCTTGCCACCTTATTTGGAAAGAAAAGAACAGAAAAGCCTTCAAGGGCATGAACTTTTATTTTCTTAGGTTTACGGATTTATGGCTTCAAATTCAAGTTTTTTGATGAAGGGCCATCATCTCTATGCCTATGAGGATTTTGGTATTTTGGTTGATTTTTTGACAAATTTGTTAAGTTTTTGTATTTGGGTTGCATCTCCTTGGTGGTTATATATAATGCACTAATTTTTCTTTTCAAGAAAAAAAAGTACTCAGAAGAACTTAGGACTTAGAAAGGGAAGTGGAACTTATCTTTATACTGTAGGGGTTGGAGGCTGCCACTTTGAGCACAGGAAGCAGTATGTGCTGTCTGTCCTTCATAGAACTTATGAGTTCTGAGGTGGCAATGAATTTATGGTTGATGATGCCTATAGAGAGATATTGCCACTATAGCAATGTCAAATGGAGTTCTTTCTTTTTCTCTTACCATTGGCCAGAGCTTCGGTGACTTACATGGGAGAAATTATGGATGGAATGTATGGAAGACCTGGAATAGGTGCTCTGTTTAGAGGAAAATTGATGAACCATGCTGCTTATAGTCATGCTCTTTAGACTTCCGTCTTGCAGTCTTGGGAGGAATAAGCATTTCATTCCCACTTGGAACCAACTTTTCACTTGGGGTAAAGAATGTTAATTTAAAGGGTTATCACATGTCAAGGTAATTTTACTCATGGAATTGCTTATTGCTTCCAGTTGTGATGTCAGTAGGCGCTTTCGAACAGCATCACTTGTCACTTGGAGGGTGAAGGATATTAATTCCACACACCAACAATGAACGGGCAGTCTTGCCGTGGTTTTCAACTTTGTAGAGTCAGTAAATTTTCGGAAATTTTAATAGGACATTTCAATATCTCTTAACCCAGCTTTGTTTTCAGGTAGTAGACTTGGCCAGATATTGGATATATAAAAGATTGTACCGTTAATAATTGTGGCAGGAAATTGTCAAATGCATGTAAATAAATTTACTGAAATAGCTAGTAAACAGTGAGCAAGAATCAGGTTACTGTCTAATGAAATTTACCACAATTGTCACTGAACCCTAGGACAAGAATTCCTAACACTGGTTTAGCTTGGGGAAAGTTTTGAAGTACCTTTATCCACAGGTTTTTCTTCTTTTATGCCTCTGGGAATAGGATTTATACCATTTTTATAACTAGGTTGTTTAAATTTCTTGGATCAGTGGCTGCTTCATGGTGTTTATTTCATGGTGCGATTCAGATGATCATTAGACCAAATTGGTTTTAGGCGCTGGCTATTTTTTCTTTGGCATTTATTTCTCTTCAATTTTTCTTTTTCTTTATCTTGTCATCTTTTTCAATTACATTCTTTATGCAATCAAGCTAGATATTTTCTCA